TGTAAAGTCTCAAACATAAATAAGTAACCACAATTAATTACCTTCAGAAGAGATGCAAAATAATAATTAAAGGACACAAAATTAAAATTACTTTTCAAAAATAAATTCCAATGAACTAAATAAATTTGTAAAAACTAATTACTTAGTTTTTTCTTTATTTACAATTTCTTCATTTACCTTCTGCTCAAAAAGTACTCGAATTTTGTAAATAAAACACACAAATTTAAATTTTATTCCAAATTTATTTTATCTCCTTCGAAATATGCTCCTTCTGAAGCGATACACATATGCCAACGCTTAACCCAATCTTCCATACACTTTTCGTAGGCCCGTGAAGGTATGGCTTTTAGTTCCTTCAGCGAAAGTTTCGGGAACAGGAAAAAGTCGCACGGATCCAGATCTGGCGAATATGGTGCCTTAGCGATGACATTGGTGCCGTGTTTGGTCAAAAAATCGCGTACAACAAGAATTTTCCATAGTAAAAATTTGCTAAATGCACTTGAGGTAATCTCACATTAACAGCTGCTGTAAATAAACTAATTGACAGATTTTACCATATGTGAAGAAAGGGTGTACCAACATAACAAAAAAAAAATTTTTGAAAAAGGTCTATTGCTTAAGGAGTAGTTAACAAACAACAAAATCCGGATACTTTTTGAGCAGAAGGTATATCTCGAAGTTCAACTATCTTATCCTAGCAGGTTTATATAATACATATATTTGCAATATATTCTGATCCTTTTGAACAAAAACTAACTGAAGGACTAGACAATAATTAGGATATTCTTTCAACATTAGTTTTAAACCGAAGCACCCATTAATTAAATCAAACAATATTTTTTTATTAAATGTCTTCCGTTGGGTTTACATATTTCTTGTAGCACAAATTTAAAAAACTCAATTTAATATTTTAGCGATGTCTGAAATAATGCAAAATTTTAATTAACCTTTTTATTAAAAAGAGGAAAAAGATCGAGTCTTAAATACAAGGAGCAGGAATTGAAGCATAGACAACTTAACCCATTTTTTAATCAAACACATAAATGTATTCACTTTCTGGGTTAGGTCAGGTTATACCGGCGATCCCTAGTGGATCCAGTTGTCCTATAGGTCCATTGTGTTACCGTATATAAAGAAAAAACTCAGGGTTTAAACCTACCTAGAACCTTTGACGAAGCCTTAAATGCTATTTAGTGTCAGGTCCCGTAATTAGTCAAGATCCTTAAGAAAGGGGTCTACTAATGTATTGAGTCGCCGCCGTGCATGAGCTGGGCAAAAACATAGTAGATAAGACGCACTCTCATCGTCTTCCCCACACTTGTGACAGATTTGATTGAAAGGGAGACCTAATCTTCTAGCATGGTTCCCTAGTTTACAGTGACCTGTAATTACACCTACCAAATACTTATATCTCTTCTGGATATCTTAATGAGAAGTTTAGATTTCCTTTTATCGGAACGCAGCCAGATTGCATACAGATGTCTGCATATCGTTGAGTCTTTCCATCTTTTATTAAATATTTCAGTACAACAAGAACTCAGTAACAGTTTGCATAATGTTAGCAATATGTTCAGATTATTTAGGCGTTCCGAGTGCGGTCCTGAAGCACCCTTAGTGGCTAGCTCATCTGCCGAAAATATTCTTATGACCCAGATTATCCTGAACCCAGATTAGGGAAATATTGAGCTGCGTCGACATTTCGTTTAGAGATGTGTAGCAATCAAAAACCGTTCTAGATGTAAATTGGACCACTTTCTGAGTTAAATTATATCGGATAAATGATTGTAAAATACATTTTCATATTGGAAAAATGTAGTGTTTATAAAATATTGCTTCCAAGGAAAAAAATGTGAATTATGTGATATGGTCTACTGAAATCAACTTATTATCGGTGGTTAATTAAGTCACTTAAATCATTTAAATTACTGTTAAGTAGCAAAGAAAATGTTATTACTTGAGTTTCATATCGTTTACTGCTTAGTAATAAATTCAATCGTTCAGCCCATATAAACTTAGACCGATTTTTGAAACGTTGTTGAATTAATTCCAGAAAATCTAATTTTTATATACAAAAATTTTGAGGGATAAATATTTTAAAATTAAACAAAATTTTCTCTACCAACTTGATTGGTAACACCACACTGTAAAATGAAAATCGGGGAGGTATAACTAAACAGACTAAAAACAGTAGACCAGAATGGTTCTCTCATTTGCTAACAGGAGACTTGAAACAGAAATGTGTTGATTATTCTGAGAGCTCTTTGAACATATTTTAACGCACTTAAGTGGATATAAGGAAGTGGGAATTTAAGTGGATATAAGCCGGTAAAAGCTGAATAAAAACGGAAATGCCAGTTAGAAAGGTTTTAGCTTCCATAATTAAAGATTTGTTATTTATCCCTTATTTACTCATATGTTCACTCAGGAAAAATAATTTTATTCTTTTCTAAAATATTCATATTGCATAGCAATAGTTTATTATATAGATCAGGGCTGTACAGAACAGATAAAATCTTGGGCCAATACAATCACTGAATGCGTTAGAGGGCCGCAGAAATAAATACAAACGTTCATAATTTTTCCAGAGAGTAGTAAAAATACGGCAATAGTGCTAAATTTAGTTTCATTAACTCTTCATTAATATATCTTTTACATTTCTATCAATATCAGCATTATTAATATTAGTTGTTGCCATATGAAAAATATTTTATTATTAATGTAATGACTTACGGCACTGGATACGAGTTTTTTGAACCAATTGCACAATAAAATATATACTAAAGTCTTTGTCAATTAAGTAAACTAACGTTAAGTGTAATAAAGTATTTAATATACTTTAATTCATTTATTTGGGATAACATAAAAATAAAATATGTGATGTTACTAAAATATAACATAGAAAACTTTGCCCAATTGTGGTAACTTAGAAACATGTCGCGGGCCGCTTGGGGCCCGTGAGTCGTGCTTTGGACAGCCCTGATATAGATAAATTTGATTTTCGCTAATCAACCAATTCATGTTTTATAATTAAAGATTGAATTCTTTATACTTTTCTGTAGTCCTTCCAGCTCAACTTAGCATTGAGAGTAAACCAAGGAATTTCTCTGCAAAATTTACATATACTATTAAATTCTGTAGCTGTCATCAATTCAGTTTCGAAATTTATTGCGTTTTGAAGATTAGTTGCAACTTTCTTAACCTTTTCCTGAGTGCATAGGACTGTCATGCTGTTTGGTATTACCCCAATGCGTTACGTCTATAATGACTCTGGAAAATACTCGTAGTTTTTTTTCTGCTCAACCGCTTCTTCGACTTTTGTTGTATTCCATAAACCTGTTCCAGCTAGGTGGGAAAGAATGTTTTTCAAATCGAGTATTCTAATATTATTGGTGATATCAATGAAATTGTGAAATTGACCGATAAGATGAGACGATATAAATATATTTTTCTGATTTGAAATTCATAATTACTTCTGCGATTTTCCATAAACTTGAAATAAATTTAAATTTTATAAAAGAATTATAACTATAAGCTGATCTTAAACTCAGCCATTATTAAGGCAAGCCCTGCATCTTTTTTTGTTATTGGAAAAGTTGTAACGTAATTTTTGGAAGAACTATTAGGCCGAAGAATGTATGTCAGATGTTTTTCAAATGCGTTTGATTTCAGTCCATGTGCTATTGTCATTTTTGATAAGTGGAATATGGCTGAGTTTTTTAAAATTATTATGTTCTTCCATAGAAAATTAATTTTTTCTGCGTTGAGAAAAGGCTCAGATAGATATATTATTTTTGATATGGGCAAATTTTTTTTTAGCTCCTCATCTGCTTTATTAAATTTAAATTTGTCGAGTGAATTGTTTTAACCTCATTGCCTCTTTGAGAAATCCATGCAGTTTGCTGGATATCTGGAAAGGTCTCTAATTCTTGTTTTAAAGCATCAACTGGTAAAAAGGGGATAATTTAAATAAATCCCAATAAGTTTATTTATTGAAAAATGTCAAGTTTTTTTCTTTTCCAATAATTGATTTAAACACCGTCAGGATTATAAGGAAATGATCTGAATTTAATTTTAAATTCTAATTTAATTAAATAAAATTTTGGGATATATTTTTTGTTACCAAAAAATCTATAATATCGGATGTTTTATTTAAATGATCAATACGTTTTTTTTTCCTGTCGGCATAAACTCGCACCCGGTTTCAATAACCGCTTTTATAGCTACCGGCCTTTAGTTGTGATGAGACGCGAACCCAATAAAGGTAATGAATTTTATATTCAATATTTTCTTTTCTTTAAATAAAATAGAATATTTAGTTGGAAAAAGTAACTGTTATTGTCAAGCTATAACGTATATATGTTTTGATAGTAATAGTCGTGCATTGGAAATTATTAGCACATATTTTGTCTTCTTCGTAACTGCACATGATCATAAATAATATGTTCAGAACTTTTGGGACGCTATCAATGGTGTTTTCTTAATAATAGTATTACGAATATTTTAGAGCTCCTTGGCAACTGTGGTCCTTGTAATTTCCCAGATAACTCTAAGTGCAAGTGCGATAATCAAGCTTTCGATCAATCAGTTTAATGCAAGCGATTGTCTAGATATTGTAAAAACTTGATTTTATGAATGCCAATTAAGATTTTACAGAATAATTTTTATTTAATAAGAGTGAATTTTACAATTGTAATTTCTATTATTATGTAACATATTAAAATTTTTATTACTAATCTGTATAATCTGTTTTTGTAGTAACCACCGAGTACATGTCCATCATATAAAAGCGATGAAAGCTACAATTCATTAAAATAGAATAGATAAAATTGAATTTATTTAGTAAAATCTTAATAATAGGTAGTTTGAAATTTATATTATTAGAGCTCATCTAAATAGAATGAAATACTTTGAACATGTCGAAAACTTCACATGATTAAAATTTTTAATACTTATTTTATTATTTTATTATATATTAAAAATATTTGGTTTTATTTTTTCAGGAAGTGCAACAGAACTAGAATCAATACTTGGTATATATGACAATTTGACTGCTAATGCATCGAAAACAAGTCTGGAAAAGTCAAACTCCTCTCATATAACAATGGATCAGCCAATTTTTATAGGACCAGAGTTAAACATTAACTCTAATTATGACTTGCCACCAAGTTTAACTCAGAAATCCATATCGGGTATAAACAAAAGTGCTAATAAAACTTATCAGTGCAATACAAAGACTTCAGATGTAGCTGAAATTAATTCCAGTACCACAGCAAATATCCAGGATCAGGATAAATCAATCTTATCTACCAAAAACTCTTCAAAGCACCGTAGTAATATTCGCGTATTGTCTCCGAATGTTCAACGCCTGATCACAATATCAGACATAAAACCGGTAGACGCAGTTGATATTAATGCGGTACATAATAATTTACAAAATTTAACACTCAGTCCAGTATTACAACACCGTTTTGTGAAAAAACCTTCAACTCCAACAAACACTCATAAAGCTAAGTTCTCGCATATTCCGCTTTCGAAAACTACTGGTAAACTTACACAATCCGGCAACGACCTTGTGGACACATTTGACTCTAGCACAGAATATCTGGATGCGTTAAGTTTCTCTACACCAAATCATAGATCTATTGACATAACAACGCCATCTTTAATTGACTGTCATGACAACATTGATATAAAAACAACGACAAGTTTATCACCTTCTAATGCTACTTATAAATCAAATACTAAACCAAAACTTTCGCTATTTAATACAGACTCAGAGAGAACTGTGTCGCTTATTGAATTAGAAAAACTCAAGCAATCGAATCACAAATTCGGCGCCAGTAAAATTCAATCTATTGAACGTAATACGTATAGTGGGAAGTCAGTTGCTACAAATCCGCAAGAAATCGCCGAGGCAATTAATTATTCAATTTTAAATAATAGCATAAAGCATATGACACTCACAGAAAAGTTATCTTTTGGTGTTCCAACAAAAACTGAAGGAGTAGTAGAAACAATTAACATCCCTTTAATATCAAAATCCCTAGCGCGAAGCAGTTCCGCAGTTACTTCTTCGAAAGTTTCAGAATCATCCGTACGATACTATTCCCGATCAAATAGTTTATCTGTGAAAGCGAATAAGGAAAGTGATATTAAACCAATAATATCAAACAAAAATGTTATAAATGTCTTAGAAGACAAAAGTGTTAAATCGCCAGTTGAAAGCATAGACCTTGTAACAATAAATAAACCAAAATTTTCCCCAAAAGAGGTGCGGAAACATCCCGGACTCATTATACCAGACATTGCTAAATTAAAAATCAGACCTTTATCATCTTCATCAATATGTTCTACAACATCGAGTTCAAGTTCAGGATCAGATCAATTAAATAGCAAACTAAACAGCTCCTATCTAGCAAGTGTGGAAAGCTTAGCTGACCACAGCGAAAATGAATCAACTGATCTTCATATTAGTTTAAGTGTTTACGAACGCGCATGTATGGAAATTATAGACTCAGAACGAAGTTACGTAGAAGATTTAGGGCAAGTCATTAAGGGGTAAATACATTATATTTATAAATAACGATTAATAAAAAAGATTATATATAAAACACACTTTTTAGATATTTGCTTGATTGGAAGGAACGAGCCTGCTTGAGTTATGACGAGTTAAAAATACTGTTCTCCAACATTCAAGATGTCTACAAGTTCAATACAACACTTCTAAAGAAATTAATGGAATCTGGGATAAATTCCCTTAAAATCGCAAACTGTTTTATTGAACTACGAGGCGGGTTCGACGTGTATACAAAATATTGGTAAGTGTTTAGTTCGTATGGCATTGACACATAATGTCCACTGTTCTATATTACTCGATTAAATTTTTTATTTATTTAAGCACTTATAATGTAAATTCAGCTAAGTAAACTTGAATTTTATTTTTTGCAGTACAAGTTATCCTGAAGCTATATCTCTACTGACAAAATTACTGCAAGCGACGCATACGAACGCCCTCCTGGCATCTACACAAAAAATGTTGCAGCACACCTTGCCACTGGGTTCATACCTATTGAAACCTGTGCAGCGCATACTTAAATATCATTTGCTTCTAGACGTAAGAAATGCAAAAGCAGGAATATCTAAACGAAATAGTTTTAAATTTTTATTATGTTATTTTGTAATTAGAATTTACGCAAACATTCTGACGTGAAAGAAGTGACTCAAGCGCACGAAATCATGCGTCAAGTTGCTTATAATATAGACCAAGTCAAACGAAAGTTAGAGCAGCAAAGTCGTGTTAAGGAACTAGCTGGCATTTTAGATGGTTGGTTAGGACCAGGTAAGTGCAAAAACAAAACTGATGGATACGGCTATATAACATAGTTCATTTTATTTTTACCCTTAGAACTTACGGTGTTAGGAGAGTTACGACAGGAAGGTTTGTTGATGGAAAACAATAAACCGCGCTTGGTATTTCTGTTTTCGACTATGCTGATTTTAACTAAACAAAAAGAAGATAGTCGTTTACAATTCAAAAGTTATATACATGTAGGTGACATATTTATCTAATTCTTTAGTGCTTTCTAGAATTATGAAGTGTTGTTTTATATATTTATTTAGCAAAATAATTTGATGCTTAGTGAGCATTTGCCTGGAGACCCGACTAGTTTCTATGTAATTCCATACGACGAACCGCGACATCAAATTAAGCTTACTGCTAAAAACCGAGAGCAGAAAAGGTTATGGACTCAACATATTAAAGCTGTAATATTGGAAAAATTTGATAATATTCCGAATCATGTTAAGGAACTTGTTTACAAATTGGGAGATGAGGAAGGTAAATACTTACTTAAATTACAACAAAATAATGTATCATGTTAGCTCTCAAACCATAAAAAAATCAAACAAGAAAGAAAGTCAGCTGTGGGATTACTGAAAATTAGATATACTCTCATAGTAACTTTGAGTAGCACTGTGTATACACAAGTGCGTTCCACCAGTGAATTTTCGAGTAAATGAGAGCATCTGTGAGAGCGTAACATCCCTGTTGTAATTTAAAAATGCTACGTAGACTTTACTCGTAGATTTTATTTCAAGTGAAATTTATGTGATGTGTGAATCAGCTGTTTTGGTTTAAATTTAAAATTTTGTATTATTTATTTGCGCGGCACTGGGTTCTCACCAGACTTTACACAAAGCTGTTCCATGAAAATCTTTGTAAAGAGCGTAATTCGGCACTTTATTTATGTTTGTACTTTACTTGTGTTCTACTTGAGTTTTACTACGAGTAAATCGTGGAACAGACCTAATATATATCAAATCATTTATATATTACTTCAGTTCTTTTTTAAACAAATCAATCTGAATTAAATATCTTTACTAGAAATGTAATATTTTCATAATGATTAATTAATTTTATGTTCAACAATATTATCAGCAACAAATACGAATCATGCTGAAGATTCTTCAAAGTTCCTTATTCAAAACTCAGAAATAGGCATGTTGTGCGTTAAGTTGTACTGTCCTTTAATATCCAAAATATGTGTAACTGTCCAATCCATTAGTTTAAAATATTGTGAACCAAGTATTCATATTCATACTCATATTAAACAAAAAACTTTTTGATTAAATCCATAACGTAACTCTGTAAGTAAAGGATGTGGTAAAGTTATTTATATATATGTTATGTGCTATGGACAGAGAAAATATTAAAATCACCTATATGTAAAAATATTTAACATCATTAATAGAAAGCGCTTTATTAATTCTTATAATCAAACATAAAGTAACTCTAGATTATATGCTATTTTGATCTGAATTATATAATTGGGATCTACAAATCTTATGCAATATAGTAGATGTTTATATGTATTTGGCATTAGTTTTAATAATGATAAGTAATATTATTTTTTCTTTTCACTTTTAGTGTTGTAAGCTTTATTCGTAAATTTACCTCTATATCATAATTCGTAGAGTCTAATTTAATTGCACCTAATAATAATAAAAGGGCAGGGCGGCAGCTCGATATTCAGAGTGACTAACATTTTTCTTTGTTTTACACGGAATATCTTGTTTTCAATACTGTACAGTATACATATGGTACAAGTATATACAAGTATAATTTGGAAAATTTAGATGATTGTAGATGATTGTTGCATTCAGGAACAAAGTAAGTATGACGCAAAAATTCTAAGCATATTGTATGTCATTCTTACTTTCAGTCGCACATTCATTCGTATTTGACTAAATAACTGTGCTAAATGCATAGCATCTATTTAGCATAGAAATCCATATTCATTTAATTTTATCTGAAATCATAATATCGCACAACTTACCTAATTTTAGCAATTAAATCACAGTACAGTATCACAGTAATAAGCCCTGGTTTTTTAATGACTGCTCTACTAACATTATTTCTCTGGTAACAGTTTAAAGTACAGTGCATTATCTTCTGTAGTAGCGTTGAATATATAATATACATATATTAAC